CATCCAGCCTTCCTCCAACCCACAGATGTGGTCCTTTGTGTGGGCTTTGGCTGGATTTCCAATTCAGCTAGAACATTTGCCCGCAATGAGCAACCTGATGGCCGCTTTGATTTCGGTTTGAATTTGGATTCCGACTCGGTAGTGGTTCTGCTACTTCCAGTAAGGTATTTTAAGATGATTCTGGTTCTTGATTATGGGAAAGAACATTCAGACAGCACTGAACGGCAAAGCCTTTTCCAAATTAAGGCAGAAGTTAGCGAATTTACTTTGATCTTTATCACAAGGTGTATTTCTTATAAACAACTTATGTAAGTAACTGATATGATAGACCAAAGTTAATATTTTCCTACTTTTAAGAGCAGGTATCACAAAATTATAAGGCTAATAAAATCCCGTACGCGATTTACATTTTTATTTTTATTTGCGAACCTATTTAGCATGAAATTACCCAAATCAGGAACCCATAAATAGCCCTCACACCCTGAGAATCTCCCTCCCATGGAATATGACAAATCCAAAGCATCTAACGTTCAGAAACATGGGGTTTTTGCCCCAAAGCGAAAATGAACCAACAAAAATGCAGATGAACGGGGAAATATGGCAACAGAAAATCGTCATAATAAAATCCCCAAGCTTATCAGTAAGCGCAGCGCAGTCAGGGTATTAACAAAAACAAAAAAAAAAAGATAGAATACAAAAAAACGAGAAGGGGAAAATGATATACCCCAGAAAGATCTCGGAACGATGAGCGGGTGCTCGAGCTTTGCTCATCCGGTGTGTCAACAATTCCCAGGCTTCAACGCTTTGATGTTGCCCACGGAAAACGCCCATCAACCCACCGCCCACCGCCCATCAGCCCACCGCCCACACCAAAATCCGTGATGAGCAGACGGACGGAGCCACTAAGCTCAGACAGTGTCATCCACTCTGACGGTGATGGCATCATTAACGCATATTCCGGACTGCCTTTCGGGCACAACCAGACGCCACCAGACGGATCCGTGTCCGGGTCCGGGTCCTGGTTTTAGGTCCCCGGGAAAATCCAAGCTTGGAGGTTCGAGTTTGAAGGCTCGCTCCGTCGTTTCCGGCTTTTGAAGTTCGAGCGGCAAAGCTTTTAATTTTCTTTGTTTTCACACCGACGTTTGAGGCCAAAAGGCGTAAATTAATCGAAGGCTTAATTAGTACACACCAGCCAAGGACTCCCCGACGACAACGGCGATGATGACGATGATGATGATGGCTCGTTCAGCGAACGGCGTCAACGTGGCGTATGATTAATAAACAGCTCCCTGGCGGATAAATTCCCCTCCGTTCGCCATTCACCCGATTTATGTTGTGTGCACTAATTATAGGCATCAATGAAGGTGAAGGTTGTCAATATCGCCGCGCCGCAATGGAGGGAGCTGAATTTCCATTTGAAATGTTTTGTAGGTTGTGAAAACAATGGGCCGCCTCCGACGAGTTAATCCTACTGCCACCCACAACCCACTTCGCGTCCACTGTTTTTTTTTTCGTTTTTTTTTTCATTTTTGCACGAGTACTGCGGCAACGTAGTTGGCTGCCACTTAATGTATTTTGCATACTAATTAGGTTGTTTGGCGGCTGCCGTCACATTTCAAGTGTTGAAACAGGTGACAGAAAAAAAAGCGACATTAAGACCAGCTGCAAAACGAAACTCGTTGCAGCAACAGAAGCAACTGCACTTGAAGCAAACGCCTTTGAGTTGCAGCCAAGGAAAATGGCAATTGTTTAGAATGGGCTTAAGTAGTTGGGGAATGCGCTACCTGCGAAGGAAGTTGTTTTTCGTTAGTAACATTAAGTAATTAGCACGTATCTTTTGTTGTTTCCTAAAAAAAATATAGAAATTTTTAAGAAATGCAAGTATATTATCTGTTTATAAATAAAATAATAATATTCTCTTGTAAAGAATTATGGCTATTTTTTCTAAGTGTTAACCCTAATCACAATAATTAATCACAATATGTAATCAATTTTTAATTCCCGATTTTACGCGTTTCCGCTACCTTATCATTTGACTCAACAACGTGGGCACTCTAATTACAATATAACCTTTTAAGTGTGCCATTAGGATTATCAATCAACGAATCAATCGCGGCTATAAATTTCCGATGAATTAAAGTGCCTCAGGTTTTGTTTACCCAATTGATAAGCAAGACGCCATGTGTAGATTGGACTTTCCAGGTGGCAACAAATAAAACCTTGTAGATTACTTGATAGATTGCACAAATTTAAATATGCACAGTTTTTAATATGCATTTATTTTTAGGCCGTAGAAATATTTTCTAGTGTTCAGGTAGAAGTTGCAAGTTCTGTTATGCCCCAAGCCCCAGGTTCATCTGCAATTTTGCTTTTTAATTTGAAAGGCAGATGACTTTTTATGAAAGTGCAGACTTCTAAGAAGCGCGTTTCTCAAAAACAACTAGAACATAAGCAGCAGAAGAGGGAAGGCGCGAAGTGAAAAATGTTTTAATTACTCATCTCAAGGCGACTCGGCAGAACCTTTCCCCATCGCCCCCTGCTGATTGACGCTTTGAAAGGCTGTGGGTGGGAGGTCAACGTGAAAGTAAATTAATTAAATAAAATAAGTTTGTAAAAACGCAATTTTTAAACAAGTCAAAAGAGGAAACGCGCTTTTTCCATACTTCCAAAAAAGAAACAACATAAGCATATGATAATTTTGATAATAGTCTATTTTTCTAAGAAGTTATTTCTAAAACTCTTTAAGAGATTTCAAATTTAAGCAATATTAAACAATTTAAATTTTTTGAATTTAAGTTTTATAATTTTTTTTCTTATTTTTTATTCTTTTAAAGTTTGCGATCATATTTCGAATTGAAGTGTTTTCGTGTCTTGAATTTTAGATTAGCTCCAGCAGAATCGGCAAAGTTCTTTTTGCAATTGTTGCTGGAACACTCGAATGCCTTCATTCTGATATTTTCTCCCCGGTTGCCGCTGTTGTGTGCTAAATAGTTCCCCCAGGGCCGAATCCACTCGAGTCGTGCTAATGAGAACACCCCAGTGACAAGGAGCCGCTGACAAGGACGAGCGAGTGCCGACGCCAAAGGATGGTTTTAATGCACGGTGCTGCATTATTCAAATGCTCGAGCAGGACGAAACAATATTTTACTGCAGCGACGGAGCGAAGTGGAGTGGACCCTGCCACGAATTCAACAAGGAGGTGTGCAGATCCTTAGCCAGATCCTGCGGCAATGCAGCGTGCTCCATTTGCACACATTTCGACAAGGCAATTAATTATGCTAAATTCGTTTAGAGAACGACAAACAGCCCCTAAAAAGGATATAGCCACGGCTGTATTGTTTAAGCAAATCTTGCTTTGTTCTATTAAAAAGAATATCTAGCGAAATACAAATTATTTTGCATATATTAAATACCTTAACAAAAATAGACAACATATGTTATTCAAAGTAAACTAATAAACGTTTATTGATTTGTTAGTTTGGTGTGATTTTAGGTAAAGAAACTGTTGTCATACTAGGAACTATTTTTATTTAAAATAAAAATTCTCAATCCCGTTTTAACATTTTTAAGCTCTAAATGTGTTTTGTTTATTTATTTTTATTAAAGAAATACATCTTACAATGCTCTCAGCTTTAAAGCAGCTCTTTGGTGTTTAATAAATAAATACCGGACCAAAATCTTAGAAAATCATAAGCCCATTAATCTTTCGCATCCGTTTATCGCATGAAGTCCTCCGTAATTCATCCCTGAAACGTTGTGTGGCCCAGAACCACCTTTGACCAGCGCACGGGAAGACTTTTGAGTGGATCTGAGGCGGAGATCTCCGGGCGGAACAGTGGGGTCCTGACATTTGCGCTGGCCATGCGCAATTAATTACAAAAGTGTTTGCGGACAAATGCCGCCCAACGAGGAGTGTGTGTGTGGGCACCAGGGTGTTTATCCTGTGAACCCCAACTGGACATGGCCATGAGGAAATCCAGCGACGAGGGCATTTCTTTTTGCCAGCTAGCCAGCTAGCCAGCTTTTCGCTTATGTGGCTCAAGTGGTCCAGAGACCGAGAGAGGCGGCAGCTCTTTTGCTTTGAGGTTATTTGCTTTTAATGACTCGCAAACTACACCCGCACACACATGGCGTATGCGTGATGTGTAATGTGTGGACTGCTTAAGTGTTTTCAGATATCGCGCATCAGTGGCCAACGTCAAGCAGCCCTGGGCCGCATGGTTTGTTGACTTTTAGACGCTGTTTGTTTGTTTGTTTGTTTGTCAGCACAATTTTGTTTTCTCATCTCATCTCTCTCTCTCGTTCTGCTTTTTTTTCCTGTTTTTGCACACATATCCCCCATTTTTTGTACTTTTTGGCTTTTCATCTTGGCATCGGCGCAGACAAGCGGCCTCATAAATGAGCTTTGAAGTTTGCATACGCGAGTGCATGCAGTGTAGAGTCACTGGCTGAAGGGATAATGCAACGCAATTATAGACTGAGCCCGGCTCCACCCGCCCGCCACCCCGCCCATATCCTTGAAAATAAATTGTTTTGTTAATTATTTATGGTTGGTTTAATGAGTGTGTGCCGTACGATGTGTTTACTGTACTCACTGTTTTCCGGCGGTCTGGTCTCTTCGCCTGGGACGTCGACTTCCATGAGTTTGTTATACTTTTGCATTTTGCAATTATTTTAATGAGTTTTGCATTTAAGCGATTTTATGCAATCATCGCCATTCGCAATAGTGTTGGGTGCAAAAAGGGATATGTACATAAATACGAATGTGCGGCATAATTGCCGTTTTTGCTTCATTAAAAAATAAATCTTTATATGGTCGGCAGACTCATTAAAAGTTGAATAAAATTTATCTCATTGAGTTCGTACTGGTTTTTTATTTGTGCACTGGATTTGGGTTGTTACATATAAGAAAGAAATAATAGGGAAATGAGTTTTTTATCAAATATTTTCTTTATAAATTTAAAATTTAAAAGCTTAGGTCACTAACTACTAATGTTTGTTTCAAGACAGATCTCAGTTTCCTTTTACTCATACTTTCGATAGTAAATAAAGGTGTAAGAAACAAAATCCGTACACATTGATTGCTAAATTCTTAGTAAAAAGTAAAAGCTATACAAAGACTATGGAAGAACTCGTAGAGATTGGAGCCCCGTATCTGTACATTATGGGCATTCCCGCTGAGCTTTACCGACACTGGGAATACGTGGGGGGATTTCTGAGCCAAGAGGAATTCGAGGAGCATTTCAATGAACCTAATCTGGAAATTGTTTCTTTGCAACAGATGAATCCGCACGAAGTGAATAGCGACTTTCAGGTGGTGCCCTCGCCACCAGAAAATCCTGAGGAACCTCCCATTGATCTAACTGCTGCTGGCGATGGACTCCATGTCATTCCACAGCCATCGGATGATGGCGATCCGGCATGGATCATCTTTCGTCCCTCCAGACGGTCAACTCATCGAATGCCTTGGTTCAGTTTGGGGCGTCTAGTGCCGGCGATCATTGCGTTCTTCAATGCTCTCTTCAAAAAAATGGTGTCCCTCTTGGGATTTGCATGAATCAAGTATATTTCCTCTGCCTGTCCATTCAATGATGCAAAGCTTACTGCCCACTGCATTACATTCTAATAAAATGTATTTTGTGTAGTGTTTTTACAATTTGTTAAACCTTGTAGAAAACCCTTTTTCTAGTCGAAAACAAAACTCTTAAATGAATGCGATTAATAATTACCTATAAACATCATTGATAAGCAGTTCATAACATTTCCATGTGGTCCTAATATTCAAAACACTAAACACTTGGGGTAATCAGGTACTTATGGTCGCCTTAAGGGCTATTAAAAATTCTAAAATAGACCTTTAGCCCACTTAGTATCAGCAACTCGTTTGGGGTCTGAATGGTCGTAATCTGCATGAATTAATTTTCAGCTCTAGACCTTAGTACAAATTAATAAACTTGGTATAAGAATTACCATCGCGTAATCACCGCGTCAATGGGAGCTCATTTTACTAATCGCATGGCAGCGATTAGAGCCAATTTAGATACCAATTACTATACGAGGTGTGGCAATAAAGTTCCGGGAATTTAATTATAATTAGAAAAGGCCAGACTGTAGAGGGCAGTGACCTTTCTTCAATTCAAATGAAAGTTTGAAGTCGATCACACGTTTGTGTTTTATGCGTATTTCTCTGAAGTGCTGATCCAATCGGTCCATCGGTTGTGCGTGAGTTCTTGGCGAGCAAGGGCATTCCAACGTTACCGGAGCCACCCTATAGCCCTTATATAGCCCCCGACGACTTTTCTTATTCCCTAAGATGAATTCATACCTCAAGGACATACATCATGATAATACACTTTCGATTCAAACTAGATTTTCTGGTGATTTATTAATGAATTCCCGGAACTTAATTTCCACACCTCGCACGCATTGAATGGCGATCGCTGGCAAATACACTGAACTTGAACTTCGTAGTGAAGTAATCAGCATTTCCCTAAGCTTTCGGTTATCGTTAAACCGTTTTATTGGCCCTAAGCCAGAGCACAAGCCTCTTGAGGGTCTAAAGTGATTACTTATCGAGCCGAAACCCGTGTGGGGCCATCCTATAAAAGCCGGGCCAATTTCTTCTGAAAGCCAGTTCTGTGCTCGAATCGATACTGCGTTCAGTTCGAAAAGAAATTGGAAAGTCGTCGCCATGAAATATCTGTGCGGCATTGTGCTCTTTGTCGCCCTTTTGGCCCTCAGTGTGAGGCCATCTGAGGAGGCTTGTGGATACGAGGTGAGAAGTGAAACCAGGATGGAATAACCACAAATATTTAACAGTGAAAAAGGATGTGAAATTCGAAAAAAGTGATTTATGAAAAGAATAGAGAAGAGAAATTGATTTTTCGGAGATCGATCGTTCAATATTCAATTTCCTTATTTATTATGCAATTCCTAGTATTTTAAACCAAAAAAAAAAAAAAAAATTAAAATCAAAATGGGAAACCCCTTTCCATTTCTTTTAAATTTTGTTCTATTAATATTTCTGATACCAAAAGAAAGTACTTAATATTCATACTATTTTTTCAGGCATGTCCCAAAACCAAGGCCAACATGATCAACATCCACATGGTTCCCCACTCTCATGACGACGTCGGCTGGCTGAAGACCGTCGATCAGTACTTCTATGGCCACAGGAGCAACATCCAGCACGCTGGTGTGCAGTACATCATTGATACCGTGGTCGCTGAGCTGATCAAGGACCCCTCCCGTCGCTTCATCCAGGTGGAGACCTCCTTCTTCGCCAAGTGGTGGGCCGAGCAGTCGGAGACCGTGAAGCAGGTGGTGAAGAAACTGGTCAACGAGGGTCGTCTGGAGTTCACCGGTGGAGCTTGGAGCATGAACGATGAGGCTGCCGTTAACTACCAGAGTGTGATCGATCAGTTCACCCTGGGATTGAAGTAAGAGATGACCAGCAAGAAGAATAACATTCAGAGGCTAAAAGGTTATTGTTCTAAATCAGATTCTTGGATGACACCTTCGGCTCCTGCGCTCGTCCCCGCATCGGTTGGCAGATCGATCCCTTCGGTCATTCCCGTGAGCAGGCCTCGATCTTCGCTCAGATGGGATTCGATGGAGAGTTCTTCGCCCGCATGGATCACCGCGACAAGAACGATCGTATCGACAACTTGGGCATGGAGATGATCTGGGATGCCAGTGACTCGCTGTCCAACGATGAGATCTTCACTGGCCTGCTGTACCGTCACTACTCGGCTCCTCCCGGCTACTGCTTCGATGTCCACTGCGGTGACGATCCGATCATCGACACCAAGAGCTACGACAACAACGTCAAGTCCCGCGTGGATGACTTCCTCAGCTACGTGACTGAGGTCGCCAAGCACTACCGCTCCAACCACATCATGATCCCCATGGGAGACGATTTCCAGTACGAAGATGCCCAGGTCAACTTCAAGAACATGGACAAACTTATCAAGTGAGTTAATAAGATTGGGTAACTACCTTTTGGATGCTTATATTTATTGTTCATCTTAGGTACGTCAACGAGCGTCAGTCTGAGGGCTCCACCTTCAACCTGTTCTACTCCACCCCCGCCTGCTACCTGAACTCCGTGCACGAGGGACTCCAGACCTGGCCCAACAAGACCCAGGACTTCTTCCCCTACGGCAGCGATGACAACAGCTACTGGACCGGCTACTTCACCTCTCGTCCCACCCAGAAGCGTTTCGAGCGCGATGGCAACCACATCCTCCAGGTGGCCAAGCAACTGAGTGTCTTCGCCGAGTTGACTGGCGAGCAGCAGAAGCAGGACCTCGAGTACCTCCGCGAGATCATGGGAGTGATGCAGCACCATGATGCCATCACCGGAACCGAGAAGCAGCACGTGTCCGACGACTACGATCGCATCCTGTACGACGCCATCCTCGGTGGAGTCAACACCGCCCAAGCTGGTCTGCGCAAGCTGACCAACCTGCCCAACGGAGAGTTCGAGAGCTGCCTGCAGCTGAACATCAGCGAGTGCGCCTTCACCAAGGACAGTGCCGACAACGTGGTGGTGACCCTGTACAACCCCCTGGCCCACACCTCCACCCAGTACGTCCGTGTGCCTGTGAAGAACGAGAACTACGAGGTTACCGATGAGAAGGGTCGCGTTGTGGCCTCTGAAGTGGTTCCAGTCGCCTGGCAGGTCCTGGCTCTGGAGTTCCGCAACAACGACACTCAGCACGAACTGGTCTTCAAGGCTTCCGTCAACAAGATCGCCAACTACTACATCAAGAAGGTCGACAGTGGAGAAAGCAGGAACACCGTCGTGCTCACTTCACCCAAGAAGTCCGTCAAGACCGTTGAAGAGGTTCCCAGCCGTTTCAAGAAGGTTTTCGATTTGAAGAACGCTACTGAGACCTTCGACGACGAAGTTGAGGGAGAGACTGTTGTGCAGACCTCGGTAAGTTAGCAAATCGTACTATTTTAGTAAGCAATCTAACATAAATTGTATTACCTTCAATAGCAAGTCAAATTGGTGATTGACAACAAGACTGGTCTGCTGAAGACCGTCGAGATGAACGGAGTCTCCGAGAACATTGACCAGAGCTACGGTGTCTACAGGACCTACGACTCCGGTGCCTACATCTTCCGTCAATACCACCAGGCTGACTTCGTCGTCCAGTACGAGGGCGTCGAGTTCACCGTTTACGATGGAGCTCTGGTGAAGGAGATCCACCAGCAGTTCAGCGAGTACGTCTCCCAGGTCATCCGCATCTACGAGGGCAGGAACCTCGTGGAGTTCGAGTGGCAGGTTGGACCCATCGAGAGGGAGGAGGAGTTCGGCAGGGAGGTGGTCTTTATCGTCAACAGCACCATTGCCAACAATGGCGTATCCTACACCGACTCCAACGGTCGTCAGATGATCAAGCGCATTAAGGACCAGCGTGAAAACTTCACTCCTGGCTTGGACAGGCAGCCAACTGCTGCTAACTACTATCCAGTTACCTCTCGCATTGCTCTGCAGGACAGCAAGAAGCGCCTTGCCCTCCTGAACGATCGTGCCCAGGGAGGAGCCAGCATGATTGATGGACAGATGGAGCTCATGTTGCACCGCCGTCTCGTCCGCGATGATGGTTACGGAGTGGGAGAGACCCTGAACGAGGAGAAGTACGGCCAGCCCATGATTGCCCGCGGCAAGGTCTACCTGATCCTCAGCCCCGCCGACGAGACCACCTCCTCCACTGCTGAGCGCGAGGCCGAGAAGGAAATCCACCTGCCCTTCTGGAAGTTCTTCAGCAAGAACACCGGAAGCACCACCGCTGCCGCCAAGTCGGTTCCCAGCTTCGAGGACTTCCCCAAGTCGGTCCATCTGCTCACCCTGGAGCCCTTCAACGATGACGAGGTGCTGCTGCGCGTGGAGAACTTCCTGGACCACACCGAAGGCAAGGTGGTCAGCTTCAACATTCACCCGATCTTCGAGTACTTGAACGGAGTTAGCATTCGCGAAACCACTTTGGACGGCAACCTGCCCTTGAGCGACATGAAGCGATTCAAGTTCCACCACGACAGCGCAGGACAGAGGCCCAGCGAAGTCGAGTACTACACTACTTCCCACAAGCCTTTGGCCGCCGAGAAGTCCCAGGAAGCCTCCGACTTCAGCGTCACCCTGCACCCGATGCAGATCCGCACTTTCATTATTAAGACAGAGTAAACCAAAGTTCTCAAAACAGTATTTCACGAAATGTAAATAGTAAACTGAATAAATTCAATGTATAAAAAAATTTATCATATTTTTGGGAAATATTTATTAAGTAATCTGGATTAGCCTAACTGCCAACTTTGTGGACAAATTCTGTCCACCACCCACTTGTCAGACATCTTCCCAAGATTAGCAAGTATTAGGAAACTCCATTTCCCAAATTCCCTTCCATCATCCCATCTCTTAATATCCATTCCCAATATTAATAAAATCTATAAATTTTTGAAGATTTTGAAGAAGATTTCTGAAGGCCTTGTTGCTAGTGCTCGCCGCGATAATTAGCTTTAATATTATTTTGTATTATTGTTCATTTTGTAAAATATAATAAAATCTGGATTACTTAAAAAAAGGATATTGCACATCTTTTAATTCGTTTTTTGAAGCGACAACAACATTAATTGCATGTCAATGAAAGAAAAACGGCATTTTTAAAGAGAATACTTTATTTGTTGAATAGTAGGTATTTCTTAAAAACTCAAAAGCTAGTTTACATACCAAGGCAGCACAATTTATACTAAAATCTTGCCACGCCTTCAACTGGTAAACGATTAACGGCTATCTGATGATAAGTGCGATTGACTATTGTTATATTGTTTATTTTTTTTGCGGACGACTTATGATGATTTAGATGTTAGCTTGGCGTGATTAGTGTGACAAAATTATTACCGGTCGAGAAAGAGACTGCTTTTAAAGTGGATCACCATTAAGTGGTTCCGCAAAAGGTCTTTAACTTTCCCAAAGGTTAGCGCCCGTTACCTAAACTCGCCGTTCTCGATTTTAGAAACAACCTTAGGTTTTTTCAAAAAAATAGCATACAACTGTTTGGAACGCAACTTGTTAACTTTCTAAAGTTCACTTGAACTTTGATAACGGAAACAACGAATTCCGGTTATTGTAAAATTGTTTTGTTACTGAGCGAGAACCAGGTCACCTTAAGTACCTTGTTGGTTTTGGATTAATTTATCGTTAGCCTCGGACTTTACTATAGCTCATCACTTACACTCTGCGTGGGGCTTTCAATTTCTAATCTATACTTAATCAATGAATTTTCAGGGCAAGTATTACCCGATAATACCAGTACAAATCCATAAACATTATTCATTTTCAATCGCCAATTAAAAATTGATTTGACTAATCTACAGATAAGTAATGCAACTCTGTCAAAACAGAAGCAACTTTTATAGGAGCATATTAAGATAAAGGTTTGATTATAAACAGTGGTTCCAAAAAGGTGGGTTGGCAATGATTGTATGTACAACACGTTTTTTAAAAAGAAAACGTCAACAAACAATTATTGTTGAATTACACCTAATTGATTTTTAAGCATGCTTGAGTTTACCTAATCCAAGATAAGCTCAAGTACCGATTGCTTATCAAAAATCTTAGTTATAAAAAGCGCAGTTTTTGAAAGTGAAAAAGTCAGTTGTGTTCCTGAGTTGGAGCAACTAGTTACATCGAACTGGCAATCCGGCAAATCCTACAATGAAATACCTGGGCATCGTCCTTTGCGTTGCCCTTTTGGCAATTCAAGCTAAGTCAACTCAAGCTGTTTGTGGTTATGAGGTAAGAAAAAAATATATAATAGGAATCTCAAGGATACAGTTTCGTTGGTTTGCAGTCATGTCATCCGACCAAGTCGAACATGATCAACATCCACTTGGTGCCCCACTCCCACGACGATGTGGGCTGGCTGAAGACGGTTGACCAGTACTACTACGGCCACAGGAACAACATTCAGCACGCAGGAGTCCAGTACATCATCGACACCGTGATTTCCGAGCTGATCAAAAATTCCGATCGACGCTTCATCCAGGTGGAGACCTCCTTCTTCTCCAAGTGGTGGGACGAACAGTCGGAAACCGTAAGATCAATTGTCAAGAAGCTGGTCAATGAGGGTCGCCTTCAGTTCACCAACGGAGCCTGGAGCATGAACGATGAGGCTGCCGTAAACTACCAGAGTGTGATCGATCAGTTCACAGTTGGATTGAAGTATGTAAAGATGGGGTTGAGTCCTGACAACTTTTAACACGCCGGTTTAATAACAGATTCCTGGATGATACCTTTGGAGTCTGTGGACGTCCCAAAGTTGGCTGGCAAATCGATCCCTTTGGTCACTCCCGTGAGCAGGCTTCTCTCTACGCTCAAATGGGATACGATGGTGAATTTTTTTCCCGCATGGACCACAACGACAAGGGTAGGCGGATGAACGACCTTGCTTTGGAGATGGTTTGGGATGCCAGTGAGTCACTGAGCGACGTCAAGCTTTTCACTGGACTCCTATACACATTCTACTGGGATACTCCTGGATTCTGCTTTGATGTGCACTGCAGCGATGATCCGATTATTGATACCGATAGCTACGACAACAATGTCAAGTCTAGAGTAGACGATTTCATCGCCTACGCTGCCCAAGTTGCCGAAAAGTTCCGCACGAACCACATCATGATCCCTATGGGTGGTGACTTCCAGTACGAGGATGCTGAAGTTAACTTCAAGAACATGGACAAACTAATAAAGTAAGAAATACAAAGGGTTTTCGGGGAGCTCCTCTTAAAACAATTGCTTATCCTTCAATTTCAGGTACGTCAACGAGCGTCAGTCCAGTGGATCTAAGTACAACATTATCTACTCTACACCAGCTTGTTATCTTAACTCCGTGCACCAGAGTGTGCAGTCCTACCCCAACAAAACTCTGGACTTTTTTCCCTATGGCAGTGATACCAACAGCTTTTGGACTGGTTACTACACATCTCGTCCCACCCAGAAGCGTTTTGAACGCGATGGAAACCACGTTCTTCAGGTGGCGAAGCAGCTGAGTGCTTTCGCCGAGTTGAACAGCGAGCAGCAAAAGGAAGACCTCGAGTACCTCCGTGAGATCATGGGTGTCATGCAGCATCACGATGCCATCACCGGAACCGAAAAGCAGCACGTGTCCGATGATTATGATCGCCTTCTGTACGATGCCATCGTTGGAGGAGTCAACACTGCCGGCGATGCTCTTCGCAAGCTCACCAACCTGCCCAACGGAGAATTCGAGAGCTGCCTGCAGTTGAACATCAGCGAGTGCGCCTTCACCAAGGACAGTGCCGACAACGTGGTGGTGACCCTGTACAACCCCCTGGCCCACACCACCGAGCAGTATGTGCGAGTACCCGTCAAGAACGAGAACTACCAGGTTACCGATGAGAAAGGTCGCGTGGTGGCCTCCGAAGTTGTTCCAGTTCCTTGGCAAGTCTTGGCTCTGCAGTTCCGCAACAACGACACTCAGCACGAACTGGTCTTCAAAGCTTCCGTAAACAAGATCGCTAGCTATTACATCAAGAAGGTCGACAGTGGAGAGACCAGGACCCTCGCTATTAAGAAAACCAACACTCAGACCTTTGATGACGAAGAGACAGTTGTTCAGACTTCGGTAAACACTATTATAGTTAATTAACAAGTTTTTTTACTAGCCTCTTCTGTTTCTTTCTCCATTAGCTTGTCAAATTGGTGCTCGACAACAAAACTGGACTTCTGAAGCGGATTGAAATGAACGGAGTCTCTGAGAATATTGAGCAGAGCTATGGAGTTTACAGGACCTACGACTCTGGTGCCTATGTCTTCCGCCAGTACAACCAAGGAGACTTCGTCATCCAGGAAGATGGAGTCGAGTTTACTGTCTACGAAGGAGCCTTGGTCAAGGAAGTCCACCAGAAATTCAATGATTACATCTCGCAGGTCATTCGAATCTACGAAAAGAAAAACATTGTGGAGTTCGAGTGGCTGGTTGGCCCCGTCCCAGTTGAAGACGATTTTGGATTTGAAGTTGTTTCAGTCTTTAGCAGTGAAATTGCTTCCAATGGCGTCTTTTACACTGACTCCAATGGTCGTGAGTTGATCAGACGTGAGAAGGACAAGCGCGAGGACTTCTCCCCCGAACTTGCAGTGCAGCCAACCTCCGGAAACTATTACCCAATTACATCCCGCATTGCTCTGCAGGACAGTAACAAGCGCATTGCCGTTTTGAATGACCGAGCTCAAGGAGGATCCAGCATGACGGACGGCCAAATTGAACTCATGTTGCATCGTCGTCTTGTTCGTGATGATGGATACGGAGTGGATGAGACCTTGAACGAACAGAAATACGGACAGCCTTTAATTGCTCGTGGTAAGCTCTTCCTGATCCTGAACGCTGCCGATGAATCCACCTCCGCGGAGCGAGAAGCCGAGAAGGAGTTCCACCTGCCCCTTTGGAAGTTCTTCAGTAAGAACACCGGAAGCACCACCGCTGCCGCCAAGTCAGTTCCCAGCTTCGATGATTTCCCCAAGTCGGTCCATCTGCTCACCCTGGAGCCCTTCAACGATGACGAGGTGCTGCTGCGTGTGGAGAACTTCAAGGATCACATCGAAGGCAAAGTGGTTAGCTTCAACATTCACCCGATCTTCGAGTACTTGAACGGAGTGGAAATCCGTGAAACCACCTTGGATGGCAGTCTGCCACTCAGTGACTTGAAGCGATTCAAGTTCCACGCTGAGGGTTCGGGAGCTAGGGGATCAGAGCCTGAGTACTACACCTCGGCCCACAAGCCACTGTCAGCCAATCAGACGCAGGATGCCTCCGAATTCGCTGTGACATTGTACCCAATGCAGATTCGAACTTTTATAATTAAGATTAAGTAATTCAATTAGATCAGATAAATGATCTCTACAAGAATAAAGAAAAAAGCTAATTAACAAAAATATTTTGAGAAATTCGTTTACTGATTCAATCTTAATATTTAGGGGACTACCCCACCAATATGAAGCAGCTGTTAATGTTTTAAAAGGAAGAACTCGAATATAAATTACCTTAACCCATTTTGCTTGGTGGCATTGGCTCTAGGATTGTAAAAAACCAAACGTAGATAAACATTTAATCGATTTATACCCCAATTTAAAAACACTGAAAAGCTCAATGCATGCACAGTTATACAACTTAAAATCTATTTTTAAAGTGCACATGCTAAAAGTAATCAAATCCCTCAAAATGTATATCGTGAGATTTTTGTTTTTATAAGAAGGCTTGCAGCAATTACAAAATTTATATTTCCGCTATCAGATACCTTCCTAGGCAACTCTACTATGTATAGCTTCTCAATTGGGAATAAGTTCTTTGTTGGCTTTAGATTAATTCAATGTTTAACTGACCAAATACAGTGGAGTAGTATTTGGTCCCCGTGGGTCGGATTTCCCCACTTTCCACTTGTCAGAAGTCGATAACTTTCAGTACAAATCCATAAAACTTATAAAACAATTAAAAGAAATGCTAATATGCAATCGGTTATAAAAATCGATTTGACTAATCTACTGATAAGCACTGCAACTCCGTCAAAACAGAATCACTCTATATAGGGGCTCATTTAGATATACGTTTTGATAATCACCACTTATTTCAAGAGGGTACTCTTCGTATGGTTTCATGTACGGCATGAGTTTTAAAACGTATTCATCATTCATAATGTATTTTTGGAACCCATATTTGGCTTTAAAGCTTCCTAGTTTTCTTATCCGAGATAGGACCGATTTCTTATCAACAATCCATGACCCCAAGAGAGTCCCACTATATATAGCCTGTTTTTGAATATGAAAAATTCAGTCGCCTGAAGTTGCTTGGGAAAGTCCGTTCATCGAGCAAGGGATCCGACAATGAAGTATCTGGGCATCGTCCTTTGCGTTGCCCTTTTGGCAATCCAAGCAAAGTCAGTTCAAGCTGTTTGTGGCTATGAGGTAAGAACAACCATATTTAATTGGAATCTCAAGGATACAATATTGGCGGTTTGCAGTCTTGTCATGAGACCAAGGCAAACATGGTCAACATTCACTTGGTACCCCACTCCCACGACGATGTGGGCTGGCTGAAGACGGTTGATCAATACTTTTATGGCCACAGGAACAACATTCAGCACGCTGGAGTCCAGTACATAATCGACACAGTAATTGCCGAGCTGATCAAGGATCCCGCTCGTCGTTTTATCCAAGTGGAGACATCGTTCTTTTCCAAGTGGTGGGACGAACAGTCGGAGACCGTCAGGTCAATTGTCAAGAAACTGGTCAACGAAGGTCGTCTTCAGTTCACCAACGGAGCATGGAGCATGAACGATGAAGCAGCCGTGAACTACCAGAGTGTGATCGATCAGTTCACAGTTGGATTGAAGTATGCATTGGTGGGGTAGAGTCTTTCCAAGTCTGAAAATTACTTTTTAATAACAGATTCCTGGATGATACCTTTGGAGTTTGTGGACGTCCCCGTGTCGGTTGGCAAATCGATCCCTTTGGTCACTCCCGTGAGCAGGCTTCTCTCTACGCCCAAATGGGATACGATGGTGAATTCTTTTCCCGCATGGACCACAACGATAAGGGTAGGCGAATGATCGATCTTGAGCTTGAAATGGTTTGGGATGCCAGTGAGACTCTGAGCGACGTCAAACTCTTCACGGGACTACTGTACACCTTTTACTGGGATACCCCTGGATTTTGCTTTGATGTGCATTGCAGTGACGACCCAATTATTGATGGCGATAGCTACGACAATAATGTCAAGTCCAGAGTGGACGATTTCATTGCCTATGCTGCCCAGGTTGCCGAAAAGTTCCGGACGAACCACATTATGATCCCCATGGGTGGTGACTTCCAGTACGAAGATGCCGAGGTTAACTTCAAGAATATGGACAAACTGATCAAGTAAGAAATAAGGATTTAGTTCTTTGTGATATCTATTTTACCAACTGTATACTTACATTTAAAAGGTACATCAACGAACGTCAGTCCAGTGGATCTAAGTACAACATATTCTACTCTACACCGGCCTGCTACCTAAATTCTGTTCATAAGAGTGTGCAGTCCTACCCCAACAAGACCCTGGACTTTTTCCCCTATGCCAGTGACTCAAACAGCTTTTGGACTGGTTACTACACATCTCGTCCCACCCAAAAACGTTTCGAGCGTGATGGAAACCACGTTCTTCAGGTGGCGAAGCAGCTGAGTACTTTCGCAGGGTTGAACAGCGAGCAACAGAAGCAGGACCTCGAGTACCTCCGCGAGATCATGGGTGTCATGCAGCACCACGATGCCATCACCGGAACCGAGAAGCAACACGTGTCTGACGACTACGATCGCATCCTGTACGACGCTATCGTCGGAGGAGTCAACACTGCCGGCGATGCACTTCGCAAGCTGACCAACCTGCCCAACGGAGAATTCGAGAGCTGCCTGCAGCTGAACATCAGCGAGTGCGCCTTCACCAAGGACAGTGCCGACAACGTGGTGGTGACCCTGTACAACCCCTTGGCCCACACCACCGAGCAGTATGTGCGAGTACCCGTCAAGAACGAGAACTATCAGGTTACCGATGAGAAGGGTCGCGTGGTGGCCTCCGAAGTTGTTCCAGTTCCTTGGCAAGTCTTGGCTCTGGAGTTCCGCAACAACGACACTCAGCACGAGCTGGTCTTCAAGGCTTCAGTCAACAAGATCGCCAACTACTATATCAAGAGGGTTGACAGCACTGATAGTGCTCTTAAGGCAAAAACCCAATGCTCAAACCTTTGACGACGAAGAGACAGTTGTCCAGACATCGGTAAGTACGCATTATATTAAACCCCCAATTTCCGTCACGAAACTCTTCGGTTTGTATCTCCATTAGCTTGTCAAATTGGTGCTGGACAACAAAACTGGTCTTCTGAAGCGGGTTGAGATGAACGGAGTCTCTGAGAATATTGAGCAGAGCTATGGTGCTTATAGAACATATGACTCTGGTGCTTATGTCTTCCGTCAGTACAACCAAGGAGACTTCGTCATCCAGGAAGATGGAGTCGAGTTTACTGTTTACGAAGGCGCCTTGGTCAAGGAAGTCCACCAGAAATTCAACGATCACGTCTCGCAAGTCATCCGAATCTACGAAAAGAAAAACATTGTGGAGTTCGAGTGGCTGGTTGGCCCCATTCCAATTGAAGAAGAGTTTGGTACTGAAGTGGTCATTACCTTTAGTAGTGAAATCGATTCCAATGGCGTATTTTACACTGACTCCAATGGTCGTGAGTTAATCAGGCGCGAAAAGGATAAGCGTGAAGGCTTTAATCCAGAACTGGATAGACAGCCGACTGCTGGAAACTATTACCCAATTACATCCCGCATTGCTCTGCAGGACAGTAACAAGCGCATTGCTGTTTTAAACGACCGAGCTCAGGGAGGATCCAGCATGAAGGATGGTCAAATTGAGCTCATGTTGCACCGCCGTCTTGTTCGCGATGATGGATACGGAGTGTCTGAGACCCTGGACGAGCAAAAATACGGACAACCGTTGATCGCTCGTGGCAAGGTCTTCCTGATCCTGAACGCTGCCGATGAATCCACCTCCGCGGAGCGAGAAGCCGAGAAGGAGTTCCACCTGCCCCTTTGGAAGTTCTTCAGCAAGAACACCGGAAGCACCACCGCTGCCGCCAAGTCGGTTCCCAGCTTCGATGATTTCCCCAAGTCCGTGCACCTCCTTACCCTGGAACCCTTCAACGATGACGAGGTTCTGCTGCGTGTGGAGAACTTCAAGGACCACATCGAAGGCAAGGTGGTTAGCTTCAACATTCACCCGATCTTCGAGTACTTGAACGGAGTGGAAATCCGTGAAACCACCTTGGATGGCAATCTGCCGCTCAGTGACTTGAAGCGATTCAAGTTCCACGCAGAGGGATCGGGAGCGATGGGAACCGAAGCTGAGTACTACACCTCTTCGCACAAGCCAATGGCAGTTGATGAGTCACAAGATGCCTCTGAATTTGCTGTCACCTTGTACCCAATGCAAATCCGAACATTCATCATCAAGATAAAATAAATACATTAATATGTACCAGAATAATTCTTTAGTTGGATTAAATAAAATTGAATGAAACTGATATATTTTGTCACTATCCTTTTTATATTTATTTGACATATTAAAACATAATAAAAATCTGTATATTAGTGAAACAATACCTACGGAATGACAATAATATATTAAATATTATATTATATTATATATATTATATTATATTTACTATATTACTAAATATAGTAAATATTTTAGATTACATTAATATTTGCTAAAATTATCTTTTCCTTAAAGTGGCTAATCAGTATAATAATTTTTTTAGCTCTTTAGAGCATGTCAGGGAAGTTAACAAAATTTATATAAACAGACTTAGAAAAAAATCTTTAATTCAGTATTTATTTAGTGCTTAAGGTCTTTTGATTTCGATCACCATACAACAAAATCCTTTTTAATCCACACAACTATAAGAAAATTAACAGAAATTCAGGTGGTATTTGTACTGAGTACGCGGCTTGATTGATAAGATTGCAAGTGCATTACAGAAGCCAAAAAAAAACTTATGAAGTGGTAGATAAATAAGTGGACTAATTGCTTTATCATGAGACCAACATTGAGGGTCGGAGTATTGAAATGAACGGTAGTTGCCGAGTCCTAAGTATTTAATGAGCTGCTAATTAATTTTCCTTATCACAGTGACCATCTTATTTTTCCTTATCACACCAAACCCAAGAACTTGCAGCCTATAAAGCAGCAGTCAGGGGAAAAAAGAATTCAGTACTTGTTAATGACACAAGATGACATATCTTGGTCGTATTTTTCTCCTGACCACAATATTGGTGGTCTTTGTAAAACAATCGCAGGCCGTTTGTGGCTATGAGGTAAGTAATATCATTTAAAGTTCATGAAACCATTTCTTTATTTTTTAACTTCGGTAGTCATGTCCTGCAACTAAGCCAAACATGGTTAACATCCACTTGGTTCCTCACTCCCACAATGATGTTGGTTGGCTTAAGACGGTTGATCAGTCCTACTATGGTTATCTAAATAAAATTCATCATGCTGGTGTGCAGTACATATTGGATAGTGTGGTGTCTCAGCTCCTTCAGGATCCCCAGCGACGCTTTATTCAAGTGGAGACCGCCTTTTTTTGCGAAATGGTGGGAAGTCCAGTCGGAGTCCATGAAGAAAGTGGTTAAAAAGTTGGTCAATGAGGGACGATTTGAATTCACCGGTGGAGCTTGGAGCATGAATGACGAGGCAGATGTGAACTACCAGGGTGTGATTGATCAGTTCACAGTGGGATTGAAGTGAGTAAATGGTAAAGGTGTCTTTTCTCTAGAATTTCTAATAATATATAACGTTTATTAGGTTCCTCAACGAAACCTTCGGTTCCTGTGCTCGGCCTCGAGTTGGTTGGCAGATCGATACTTTTGGACACTCCCGCGAGCAGGCAGCAATCTTCGCTCACATGGGCTACGATGGCCAGTTCTTTTCCCGAATGGATCATAACGACAAGGACACACGCCTCGAAGAGTTGACTATGGAGATGATTTGGGATGCCAGTGAATCGATGAGTGGAGTTAATCTTTTCAGTGGAATGCTGTATAATTTCTACTCCGATACTCCAGGCTTCTGCTTCGATATTCTATGCACTGATGAACCCATAATCGATGGGGATAGCGAAGAAAATAATGTTGAAGAGAGGGTAGATCACTTTATCACCTATGCAAAGAATATGTCGGAGCATTACCTCACTAACCACATAATGGTTCCCATGGGCGGTGATTTCCAGTACGAGGATGCCAAAGTCAACTACAAGAATATGGACAAACTGATCAAGTAAGAGTTGGCAGGCAATAAAATCAGAGGTTAATTTTTTTTTTTCAAGGTACATTAACGAGCGACAAGCCTCTGGATCGAAGTACAACATTTTCTATTCGACCCCAAGTTGCTATCTGAATTCCCTGCATCAGAGTTTAGAGTCCTGGCCAAATAAGACTCAGGACTTCTTTCCCTATGCCCACGAAAAAAATAGTTTCTGGACCGGCTTCTTCACTTCCCGTCCAACTCAGAAAAGATTTGAACGGGATGGTAATCACATGTTGCAGGTCGCCAAACAGCTCTCCGTTTTTGCCAATCTGACAAGTGAACAGCACAATGAGGACTTGGACTATCTGAGGCAGACGATGGGAGTGATGCAGCATCACGATGCAATTACTGGAACCGAAAAACAAGCTGTTTCAGATGATTACGATCGAATGATGTACGAAGCTATTGTGGGAGCCTCTAACAATGCAAAAGATGCCCTGCGAATTCTGACCAACATGCCAAATGGGGAATTTGAAAGTTGTCTAAAGTTGAACATCAGTGAGTGTGCTTTTACCAAGGATGGAGCTGATAACGTGGTTGTGACTTTGTACAATCCCCTGGCTCACAAATCCACTCAGTATGTGCGCATACCCGTAAAGGAAGAGAACTACCAAGTTACCAATGAAAAGGGAAACCTCGTTCCTTCCGAAGTGGTTCCAGTTGCCAAAGAAGTTTTGGATTTGGAATACCGATCCAATAACACGCAGCACGAATTGGTTTTCAAAGCCACAGTGAATAAAATTGGAAGTTACTACATCAAAAAGGTCGAGAGTTCCGAGAACAGCCAAACCTCTTCTATCAAAATAATTAACCCTCGAGAAAGTGATGATTCTGAAACTGTTGTAGAAAGTTCGGTAAGTTTGTATTGAAAAATTGTTAAGAAAATGATTATATTTTAAAACTATTTTACCCACAGCTCATTAAACTGGTGATTGACAACCAAACAGGTCGCTTGAAGACGATTGAAATGAACGGTGTATCTGAGAATATTGTACAGAACTTTGGCTTCTACAAGACTCACACTTCTTGTGCATATACTTTCCGCCAAGATGGCGATATCGAACTTATTGAAGATGATTTCAAGTTCACGGTTTACCAAGGAGCATTGGTCAAGGAAGTCCACCAGAAAGTTAACGAATGGGTTTCGCAGGTGATCCGCATTTACGAGGACGTTAATCGCGTCGAGTTCGAATGGTTGGTTGGTCCCATTCCTATCGATGACAATTTGGGCAGTGAGTTTGTCACAAACTTTAAGAGTGGAATTTCCTCAAATGGAGTCTTCTACACGGATTCCAATGGCCGAGAGATGATGAAGCGAGAAATGAATAAGCGTGAGGATTTCGTTGCTGATTTGAGTCGTCAACCAGTTAGTGGAAACTTTTACCCAGTAACTTCAAGGATCGCTCTTCAGGACGATAGTAAGCGATTGGTTCTGCTGAATGATCGTTCTCAGGGAGGAGCTAGTTTGGAGGATGGAGCCTTGGAGATGCTGATCCATCGTCGCCATCTTTTCAACGATGGTGGTGGAGTGGGCGAAGCTCTGAATGACACGCAATATGGCAAAGGATTAATAGCCCGAGGAAAACTATACCTTGTTCTCGATTTGGTAGAGGAGAAAAACACTATTACTGAACGTGAGGCCGAAAAGGAACTATTCCTTCCTTTCTGGAAGTTCTTCAGCAAAGCTGGTGAAACTGGAAAAGCTTCAACTAAATCCATTCCCGACTTTGATGATCTTCCCAAGTCTGTTCATCTCCTCACTTTGGAGTCCTTCACGGAAAATGAAATTCTGATTCGCTTTGAAAACTTCTTGGATAAATCGGAGAGTAATGTAATCAGCTTCAACATCCGGGATATATTCGATAGTTTGGGAGGTGCTGCGATTAGGGAAACCACCTTGGATGGTAACTTGCCACTAAGCGAAATGAAACGATTTAAGTTCCATGCCCAAAACTCTGGAAACAAACCTTCAACTGTGGAATACTCTACTGCTCAGCACAAATCATTGGAAGCCGATAGATTAGATGATGCATCAAAGTTTGTTGTAACACTATATCCTATGCAAATTCGCACTTTTATTATTCAAACGAATTAGGTTTAATTATGTCTGTCAAAACGAACTATAAAAATAAATGATTTTTGATTAAACTTATGTGCTTTTATTATTTCTTGGGTTTACTATTATTATCCGCCATTTCCGCATGTGTGACTTTCACTTTTATTGAGATTATAAGTAGGTTCACAACGTTCTCGTAATCTGAAGTGGTTGGAAATCATAAACATACAAATTATCTTTAAGTGGGCAATCGTCAATTAAAATCCATTTAAGTAATTGAGAATTTGAATGATAAGGATTGCAATTCATTGCCGTATTCTAGATAAACTTAGGAGTACCTTCAGATTATTTTTACCCCAATGGCGCATTGCATGTGGCTCAAATAAGCCGCAAGGTACTTACCCTTTGAGACTTGTTGCTAATGGTAAGGTTTAAGTTAATTGGTTCACTTGAATAGGTTTTATTCAAAACATGTTGAAGAGGTGATTACTTATCAAAAAGCCCCCCATTGAGAAGCTTATAAAAGTGGGAATGTTATTTCCTATAGTTAGTTCTTCGTCTGCAGTCGATGGTTTGGGAATTCGGAAAATGGCTAGTATAAGGATTTTGGCCATCTTGTTGGGCTTGCTTGGCTCACAAATCCATCAATCAGAAGCTGTCTGTGGCTATGAGGTTAGTAATGAAAGGAATACTTCGGGAAGAAAAACTATTTAAACAATCTATTTACAGTCATGTCCTGAAACAAAGTCAAATATGATTAATATTCACTTGGTGCCCCACTCCCATGACGATTTGGGTTGGCTAAAAACGGTTGATCAGTATTATTATGGCAACAAACATAACATTCAGCATGCCGGTGTGCAGTACATATTCGATACTGTGGTTGCCGAACTTAGCAAGGACTCTCGTCGTCGCTTTATCCAAGTGGAGACGGGATTCTTTGCCAAATGGTGGGAGGATCAGTCGGAGACCAAGAAACAACTGGTCAAGAAATTGGTTAACGAAGGACGTCTGGAATTCACCGGTGGAGCATGGAGCATGAATGATGAAGCTGCCGTGAACTACCAAAGTGTAATTGATCAGTTTGCCGTTGGTTTGAAGTAAGAGCACCCTCAAAATATATTTATTTATATAAAAATTATACCATTAAATTATTTAGGTTTCTGAATGATAACTTTGGAGTTTGTGGACGCCCCAAAGTTGGCTGGCAGATCGATGCCTTCGGACACTCTAGGGAACAAGCTTCCATGTTTGCCCAAATGGGTTTCGATGGACAGTTCTTTGCCCGCATGGATCAGAATGACAAGAACAAGCGAGTGGACAATCTGGGCCTCGAAATGATTTGGGATGCCAGCGAAACCCTCAAGGAGATGGACTTTTTCACTGGAATGCTCTACAATCACTACTCGGCACCTCCTGGCTTCTGTTTCGATTCCCTCTGCCAAGATGATCCAATTATTGATGGAAAGAGCTACGATAATAACGTTAAGTCCAGGGTGGATGATTTTCTTAACTATGCCTCCAGATTGGCTGGATATTATCGTGCCAACCACATTATGGTGCCAATGGGCGATGACTTCCAGTACGAGAATGCCTACATGAACTACAAGAACATGGACAAACTTATCAAGTAAGATAATGATGATTAGCTTGTATGAATTGTTTTTATTGATTTATTTATAGGTATGTCAACGAGCGCCAGGCAAGCGGCTCCAAGTACAATATTTTCTATTCAACCGCGGGATGTTACTTGAATTCGCTGCACAAGACCCTGCAAAGCTGGCCAAACAAGACCCAGGACTTCCTGCCCCACTCTCATGAGGCCAAGAGCTTCTGGACCGGCTTCTTCACCTCTCGTCCAACTCAAAAGCGATTTGAGCGCGATGGCAACCACATGTTGCAAGTAGCCAAGCAACTCAGTGTGCTTGCCGATCTTTCCGGCGAGGAACAAACCAAGGACCTGGATTATCTACGCCAAATAATGGGTGTTATGCAGCACCACGATGCCATCACTGGAACCGAGAAGCAAGAGGTGTCCAATGACTATGATCGACTGCTGTATGATGCCATCTTGGGAGGTGCTAATACAGCCCGCGATGCTCTTCGATTACTCACCAACCAGCCGAATGGAGAGTTCGAAAGCTGTCTGCGATTGAATATCAGCGAGTGTGCTTTCACCAAAGAGAACACTGATAACTTTGTAGTGACTTTGTACAACCCACTAGCCCACACTTCCACTCAGTATGTTAGGGTGCCTGTGAAGGAGGAGATCTACCAGGTGACCGATGCAAAGGGTAATGTGGTGGCCTCTGAATTGGTTCCAGTTCCTTGGCAAGTTCTGGCTTTGGAGTTCCGCAACAACGATACTCAGCATGAGTTGGTCTTCAAGGCATCTGTGAATAAGATTGCAAGTTACTATATCAAGAAGGTTGACAAAGAGGAAAGCGATCTGTTAACTCAAGTCAAACAGTCTGTCTATGGAGAATATTCCAACTTGGAGGTACCCAATCGATTTAAGAAGGTTCACTCACTGAAAACTGCTGCTGAACCTTACGATGATGAAGAGACTGTGGTCCAAAATTCGGTAAGTCACCAACTCATTTAATGTTAAAAGAAATTTATTTTTAGTTTATATCTCCATATTAGCTTATCAAACTGGTAATTGACAACAAAACAGGACGCTTGAAGACCGTTGAGATGAATGGAGTTTCCGAAAACATTGACCAGAACTTTGGAATGTACAAGACAGCCCGTTCCTGCCACTACATTTTCCGCCAGGATGCTGACCTGGAAGTTCTGGAAGACGCTTTTGATTTCACTGTATACGAAGGAGATTCCGTGAAGGAAGTCCACCAGCAGATGAACGAGTGGATTTCGCAAGTGATTCGCATCTACGAAGGCGTCAACCGAGTGGAGTTCGAATGGCTGGTTGGTCCAATTCCAATTGACGACGAGCTGGGCAAGGAGATTGTCACCATCTTCAAGAGTGGAATTTCCTCCAATGGAGTTTTCTACACCGACTCAAATGGCCGTGAGATGCTCAAGAGGAGAGAAGGACAAGAGGGAGGACTTTAGTCCCGATCTGAGTGAACAGCCCGTGAGTGGCAACTACTATCCAGTCACCTCCAGGATGGCTCTGCAGGATAACAACAAGCGATTGGTCCTGCTCAATGATCGTTCTCAGGGAGGAGCCTCTTTGGAGAACGGTCGTTTGGAAATGATGCTGCATCGTCGCCATATTTTCGCCGATGGCTCAGGAGCTGCGGAAGCCATCAATGAACAGCAGTTCGGAAAAGGTCTGATCGCCCGCGGAAAGCTTTTCCTCTCTCTAAACGCTGTTGAAGATGGAGCCACTGCATCCGAGCGAGTGGCGGAGAAGGAGATACACCTGCCCTTCTGGAAGTTCTTCAGCAAGCCTAGTAACACTTTAAGTGAATTTACTACATCGTTGCCCGACTTCAATGACCTCCCACAGGCGGTTCATTTACTCACACTGGAACCCTACTCAAAGGATGAGATTTTGTTGCGCTTCGAGAACTTTTTGGATCAAACGGAGGGCACTGTAGTTAGCTTCAACATTCGAGAAATCTTTGACGACTTGGATGGTCTGGAGATTCGGGAAACCACTTTGGATGGCAACCTTCCTTTGAGCGATATGAAACGCCTTAAATTCAATCATGATGGTTCGGGTTCCAGCTCCTCAACTCCGGAGTATTTCACTAGCCTACACAAACCTCTGTCAGCTGAAAAATCAGAGGATGCTTCAGCATTCACTATCACTTTAAAGCCCATGCAGATCCGTACTTTTATCATCAAGAAAGAGGTTGCCTAATAATATAACCGATGGAAATATGAGAAACTTTTAGTTTATAAAGAACAAATGGCATTCTGAAACCATTTTTATTAACGATTTCTTAAAACTGGCAACGCAAACCTTGATACTGGACTATTTTTTTTTAACTGGTTAATGATTCACCCTATTTACTACCTTTAATCGGGTAATGCTTCTATATTAGTTGAGTACCACTACAAACTCTCTGATGTGGCGGGGCTGCACAAATAGACGAACCGCAATGATAATTACGAGTTGTAAACGTCGATTCGAGATTATCAGTATCAGCCGCTCCGCAGGCTTCTCATATTTACTGCTTACAATGCAGATACATTTACTGCATTGGCTTCCACCCAGCCAGATATCATCCCATTGGCGTCACACCCACAGAAAAAACACCTCAAATCCTGGCCTGAGTCGGCATAAGTCCTTTGGTTATTTGGTGAACCCGTGGCTTCCACTTCCCCTTCGTTTGCAGTTTGGTTCGGAGCTTTCGGCTGTGCAATATATATACATATATATATATAAGTCGAAATGATATCTGTATGGGATGGCTGTTGTTGTTGTTGGTCTAATGCTGCTAATGTCTGGCACTCGAAAAAAGATTTGCGCCCAATACCCCTTGGCTGAGCCCCTGCCCACTAAATACTTTTGTGCCAACACCAAACTCGCATTGCAGGAGAACTCTGGTCCTGGGCTTTTATTATTAAGTTCGCCACGGGAGACTTTAATCTTCCGTCTCCTGGTGGGGACAGCCGCATCGCACACAGCTACACCCTCGGATCTACTCCATTTCACTTCACAGCGATGCAAAACAATGAGCCCCTGAATTCATGCCATATGTGTGTACGAGTCCTGTGTCCTGTGTCCTGGGACGATGGGAGATGGGAAAAATTATTTAATATTGCCCGTCTTAGGCGATGAGGCGAGCCAAGTTGAGGCGTTGTTTGGTACTAATCCTTGGCGAGCATTAGACACGGAATTTAATTTAGTTCCTGCTGCATCCTGGAACGGCACACAGAGCGGAAATATCTATGATTCCTTAGTATTATTATATTTTGTTACTGGACTTGATGAAGATCACTTTCTTATTAAAACTTAAATATTCAAAATAATAGTTTTTTGTGCAACGCCATATACCAGTTATAGTAATTTTTAGCATTACAAAACATTTTTTTAGTTACATACATTTTCTCTGTGCAGCTTTAGCCACAGTAAGACCTCGCATATGTGTGCCAAGTACCCCATGCTGGCTGTCAAACACTGCTTTGCCGACTTCCGGTCGAGTTGGCGCTTTTAAATCAAATGAAACCCACACAAGAATCCACCCACCATTCACTCGCCTCCTGTTTACTCGCTGAGCTGCCCAGATAATCCAACTTTGATTAAGTAATTTTCATGTTGGGCAGCATAATAAGTTGGCAGCTCAAATTTTTTGGTTATGTATTTTAAAATCCATTTTTGGTAATTACATCATTCTCGAATTAGCCATTAAATTTGAGGTAATAATATATTAACTACATCTTAATTAGTATATCACGTTATAAAATATTTGCTGGACTTCCGAAACTATTAATTTCTAAAGAGTGCGCCACCAAACAACAGCTTTAACTGAGTTAAAAGGGAATTCTCGGATCAGGGCACATTCGAACTGGTCTAAGCGAGTCGGGTGGAAATAAAAAACAATGGACAAATGGTAAACTAAGCGGCTAAACAAATATCGCCATCGAGCATAAATCCTCGCACTAAAGCGCTCACTCGACAACTCAATAATACGAGTACAACGGCGGCAAAAAGAACGATCTAGAGTGTGCTTTTTGGCACTTCAAATACAGGGAACTGCAGTCGGCTTATAGACAAGCGAATCCATTGGACCCAAGGCCCCAGCGTTAAATTGTGGGCAAGTCAGTGGTTGTGTGTGTGTCATTTTAATCAACGGAAACATGCATCGGATTATCCGACAGCTAAACAACACCCCGGTGCCAATGAATGGAAAAGCGTTTCGTTTTGACAATTGGCACTGCGATGCTCAACTCGACCCGCTCCATATTTTCCCTAACCCCGGCACCACTACAATTAAATGCGCAGTGAGGCTCAAGCCTACTTAGGGTCTACAAAGCACATACGAGTTTGTTTACTGAAAAAAAAAATGTGGAACTCTAAATAACTTAAATTTCATATTGGAAGTCTATCTTAGCAGCTAAGCCATTGTAATTTGTATTTCAGCTGATTAGAATTCTTGATAGCCAATGTTTCCGATTTACTAATGGTATTTAAATAAACAAAATATAGTCTTGTATATTTTTAAACATAAGGTAATTTTTATAAGAATTCTTGCTACATTACATTATTTTGTAATTTTTAATGGAGAATACTTCTCTGAAATTTCTTTTCAAAAAATTCAATTAAACCCTAATTTTTACTAAACAAGGTTCAACTTTTTACTTAAGATGTTTTTTTAAAGAAAATTTTACTTCAAGTGTATACGATGTGTTTCTATATGGCATGTTTCCAAGCGCTTGCGAATTTATTGAACCGCAACAAATGTCATTGATGTCATCATCTGCCACTGCAGCTTGTGATGATCACCAGCAGCATTATGAAAATGCGACATCGACAAGCGTATCCGAATCTTTTTATTAGCAACAAGTTTTTAATATCGCGACGGGAGCTCGAATCCATTGAGGTAGAGGCAGAGGTATAGCGCACCATGAAATGCTCAAACTTTTAACAATAGCGCCCTAGTCTAACTATATATCCCAACTCCCGCCCTTCCCCCAGCGGTTCCTCCGCAGGACGAGCATCCCTTGGTGAGCGCCGATTTTATAAGAATTTAATATGCGCCACGTATTTTGATGTCGAGGATGTGTTTCGGTTTATTTGTACTCGTCCTTTTTTTTGCGCAGTTTCCTAAATCATTCACACTTTGAGTATTTCCACCTTTTGATCTACGAAACTCGAATTACATAGATATGAGTTCATAACCAAAGAAAAAACTAATTTTGGAAAAATTGAAAATAAGGAATCTAATGAAATTTCTAAATTAATATAGATCTTTTTTTCCTGGAGCACATGATTAATAAGTCAAGTCTCGCCGAATCTTTCGGAAACGTCGACGCTTTCTTCATTACATCATAACGATTATGAAATAAATACTTCCGCTTCTTTGAGACTTCTCCCGAGTTTGAGGAGTGCGGGGTGAGAAAATTCGCTTCTCTTCCGTGATTTTCCTTTTTCCATAGAGGAGAAATAAATCATCTGCATGTCCTGTTCCTGGCGATTGCCAGGAGTCCGTTCATTCCCCCCTCTCCATGAGAATCGTGTATTTATTGTTGCGTTTTTAAGTTTGGAATTTTTAATTTATTGCGCATCCTTCATTGTTGAAAGTTATAATTCTTGCATCTTTGGAGACGGGGAGGCCATGCTGCCTGCTTAAGGAATAAAATATATTTGCCAGCGAGTCTCGAAAATTATGATGTATGTGCAATAAATAATCCGAAATAAATAAATTATCGCCAGAGGTTTTATTCTGGGCAGGGCGGCCCGAGTGGCGCAACTAATAGATGCTGGTTTTCGTTCCGTCCAGGATGGGATTCCCTTTTTTTCCGACTCGGATTTCAATGATTTGTTGGTGGACCCGTCGCTGTGTGCCGGAGTGTTTTCCTGGCGGTTTTACACATTTACAAGGGTGCTAATGCTAGTTTTGTGCACTTTTTCTCCGGTTTCGTGTGTGAGTCTTTATGCCAACTCCTTGGCAATCCTTTGGCCAGGCCATAAATCACGGCTTGATTTGGCGCCTCGCATGTGTCCGGGCATGTCCTTTGTCTATTTGCCTAGCACACGGCATCCTTTTGTTTAAATGCGCCAAATATACTCGTCCTTGTCGACGTTGACTGTCGTGCCAACAACCGTTTTCGTTGGTTTTTTTCATCGCTCCTTTTTGTTTTAGTCCAGGGTTAACCCTTTTAACCCCTGGCAAGCGACTCCTCTTCGGTTAACCACGGACAGCGCTGGATGACATTTTTCCAGGACATATTGCCACGACACTGAGGTCAACCTCTTTCATGTTCATTGGCTTTGCCACTCGCAGAATGCGAATTCACTTTGGCCCGACAGTTTTTGGTCATGGGAGTTAGTTCAATTCCTCTCATGTGACCTATCTAGTAATTATGGTTAAATTGCCCAATAAAAAAAGGAACTTTAACAGGAATTGGATAAATTATAATAATGGGGAATGCATTGAGCCAGAGTAAAGTTTTTGTTTTGTTACTTTCGAGATAGTTATTTCTTTTACTATTTATAGTTTTGGTTAATTTGACTATTTTCACTCGGATACCAAATTGTGCTGTGTATTTAATATATGCATTGTTTTATATACATTGGTTCAGAGATTTATATATTTATAAAGCCCAACCATTTCCAAGTAGTATTATTATATGATTATGCATGAGCTTTATTGCTTTTATTATTAAACGTTGGGTATTAAAAAGCGCGTACTGTTAACCTGCTTTATATTTACCATGTTTAAATTCCGAATGAACTTTGTTTATATATTCTTTCTTTTTTTTAATAAAGTATTGTTCAATCAAAAGAACAACCTTTCTGATACCTGTAAAGTTTAAAGTATAGCCTACTAGTTTATTTGTTTGCAATATAAAGATATGGATCCCCTACCTTTTTAACTTACCAGGATTGCATTACTTTCGATGACTTTAATCGACGCAGCTTGCATCTCAAGGAGGCATTAAGACGTAGTACATCTGCCCTATTGGCTTGACCTCGTACCGCTCGAGAAAGGGGGCAGTGGCGTGGTCAGGGGCAGGGGCGCGGCTTTGTAGAGGACCCGAGGGAGGGGGCAGCATTTTGCCGTAACTGTCTTTGTCGCAATGTCGTAAATAAAGTCGGGGCAGGCATCCTCGCCGAACATTGGAATTTATGCGCGTTGATTTATTTGCTGTTAGCGATTTATTGCTGCCGCAGCCGCATCCCATCGTCCAGGACACTCTGGGCAAGAGAGAGAGATGGAGAGAGGGAGAGAGCGGGATGGAGGGATGGAGGGATA